AAAAAGAAAGAAAATGTTTTGAAAATGATGATGGTCCTCTACTGGTAAGAAATAAAGAACACAGCCAGTCAGCACAATTCACAATCGCAAAGAGTTGGAAATAGCCTAAATTTCCATCGATAGAAAAGTGGATTAGTAAACTCTGGCACATACACACAATGGAGTACTATGCAGCACTAAAAAGCATGGACGATCACATGAAACACATCATTTCATGGGAAGAGTTGGAGGGAATTATGTTAAGCGAGGTAAGCCAATCTCAAAAGAATAAGTATAACATGATTCTCCTGAGGTAAGTACAATCAGCACAGCAGGAAGAGAAGAAAAGACACCTATCTAACAATATACAGGTAAAAGCATAGTCATTCAGGAGGAAGGTCAGACCAAACCCAGGAAGGTACATATAACCCAATATAAAAAAGGGGAAAGGGGGAAGGAGGAAGGAGAACAGGGGTGGGAAGAAACTGAGAGGATGGCATGGGGGGAATGGGGAACTAACTCGCCCAGGGGGAGAGTATTGGTTGTGTCTCCACAGAATTGGAACGTGCATACAGACCCAACCATGGCACGCCAAACCAGGAGAACAACGTAACACGTGGAGGAATGTATGAAACGACTGGACTACAGAGCCGGCCCCAACCAGAACCAACCTGACCCTAACCCTGAAGTGTGTGCTGCAGAGAACGACACTAGGCCTTCTGGTGGGGGAGAGGAGCTGAGCTACCCTACCCAGATGGAAGCAAACCAAGAAGGAACAAGAGAAAGAGACAGTCACCCTAGACTCCATATGGGAACACAAACCCCAGAGGATGAATGAGGTCCCTGCATGGAGCAGCGGGGTCAGAGAAAGGACTGTGGGACTACCAGCAACTCAAGACATGTTGTCCCCTAACTGGAACGTACAGAGACAGGGGACAATAATGGGTACATGTGGTGGTGGGAATGGAGCATAACAGATCAGCAATTGGAGTAAAGCCGAGCCACAGAGCCCCTGAGGAGGCCCAAGAATGGATTTTTGGGTGAGGAGGGGCAGCCCCCAGATCTCCCTCAGGACCATGGAGGAGGGTCTCATGAGGACCAGGAAACAGACCTGGACCTATGTATGGGATTTTTTGTTTTGTTTTTCCTTCTTTTCTCTCATCTTTTTCTCTTTCCTCTTTTTCCTTCAAACATAAGTTTTCTTATTGTTCGGACTAGGACATGGATGGGTTGCCTAAATATATGGGTTGGACCATGGGAGGAAAGCCCGGGGAGAAGGGAAAGGGGCCAATGGCCCCCCGGAAGGTTTAGGGGGAAGAAGGAGGTGGGGAGAAGGGTGTGGTGA